GTTGTGGTAGTAGTTGTGGTAGTAGTAGTGGTAGTGGTAGTGGTAGTGGTAGTAGTAGTAGTAGTAGTAGTCGTCGTCGTCGTCGTCGTAGTAGTAGTAGTAGTAGTAGTAGTAGTACCAGCAGTAGTCGTCGTAGCAGCTATTGTTGTTGTAACAGTACAAGTAGGACAAGAAGCACCATTACTACTCCTACCCACGTCGGCTACTCCTGCTGCTTCTGTTGCTGCTGCAAACGACGTCCCATGATGCCTTCTTCGTGTCATAGGACCGGATCATTCCAATCTTGACAACCGGCCTTGCTGCAAGACGTTTTCTTCGGAATTCCAGTTCTGCCAGTATGTTGCTTTAAACAGTGTGCTGCCATGACTTCCTCCTCCTGCTACTCTCACGGCTCTGGCACTCTCAGAAAGCAGATGAGACAAACTGACAGAGCAGCATGCAGGAAGCCTGCAAGCTCCACAGCAGTCACCTACAATGACTCCAATGATCCAAACGGAATGATTTTCCGCCCGCACGTGATCCCGAGATCCGAAACTCTGATGTTTTCCCGACTTCCCATCTCTGAGCCCTGCGGCAAGCGCTCTTGCGGAGGTGGCGCCTCCATCGGACGCCCTTGCAAAAGGGCAGGGGGGGATGGGTCGAATAGATGGCAAAGGCGGTGATCATGGTCATGCTGATAATCTGAATCTATAGCTAACAGTGCGAACAAGTGACTAGAACAATGAGAACGGTGTTGAGGCTGGTGCTGTGTTGTAAGACGAATATAGTCTAGCTCATGCAAATAGCAACAATCACAAGAATCCCTGCGGCAAGCGCTCTTGCGGAGGTGGTGCCTCCATCGGACGCCCTTGCAAAAGGGCAGGGGGGGATGGGCCGAATAGATGGCAAAGGCGGTGATCATGGTCATGCTGATAATCTGAATCTATAGCAAACAGTGTGTACAAGTGAATGAGAACGGTGTTGAGGCTGGTGCTGTGTTATAAGACGAATATAATCTAGCTCATGCAAATAGCAACAATCACAAGAATAGCAATAGCTGTGGTCCAGTAGCAGCAGCAGCTTTCAGATGATCCCGTCCCGTCTGTTCCCACCTGAGGAAAAAGGACCGAAGACCCTGCATAAGCGCAGCAACATGTTCGGAGCGCTGCAGAGTTTCCGGGTTTTGGAGTTTGGGGCGTGGGTTCAGGGTTGTGGACTTAGAGATTGGGGTTAAGGCTCGGTTAAGGGTGCACTTTCAGCCTTTGCTGCCTTCACGCTCGCGTCTTCTCGGCGGGGTTGGCAAACGATTCTGTCCTGAGATCTGGCTTCGGTTCCCGGAAACGGCTTGGCGTACTCAGTGTAAGGCTCCGGGCGCTGAGAAACAGGTGTCACAGCTTCTGCTCGAGGCTTCCCCTCGTTCTCTGTGAAAATGAAGGAGACCTCCCAGCATGTGCAGTCTAAGTGACACTACAAGACAAAGGTGTACAGATTATGCAGGGGGCTGTGCACTGCATTCGTCTGTTCTTCGCAGAACATCACATCCATGCACTGACGCTGCTGCTCGAAGATGAGAGGAGCAACAGCTGGGCCCAGGCTTGGATCCACACGTGCAAGCCGACAGCCACAATCAAAAAAGACGGGGGTCGCCATTCCAGAGTGACCGTTGCCCTGGTCACATCGAATGTGCACACTACACTCGACGAGGTCAAACCGAAACTTCACCATGTCGCAGCTCCAAAACCCTTTCCCTCACAGAACGCATGATTTCACGGCGGGGATTCAATGCGCTGGTCAGAATTATTCTTGCCAGAGGGATGGACGAGAGAAGAATTGGAGCACCCGCTTGAGCCGGGAAGAGATGCCGACAGCCGATTGCAAGCATGGCCTCCATGCCTTTCAACCGCTCGAACTCCACCTCCTGCGGCTATGCTCAGCATGCCTGGAACCGCTAACGTCCCTTAGCCGGAAGCCGTCAAAAGAGTGCAAGCCATTGTAACACACTCCGTGCAAGGCCGACATGTCGGCCAAGCTCTCCTGAAGTTCAGGTGGGAGAGCTTGCCTGGGGAAGAAGACGTCCTGAAGCTGTCAGAAACACGATCATCCTTGCAGTGTGCACTAGTCTTTCCTTTGTAGCAGTAATATGGTGCACTAGGGTAACACAAGAGCAATCGGACGGTCACCTAGCCCTACGAGCCGGTGATACGTGAGCTAGCAGCTTGCAAAGCAATCTCCTTCGCTGCAACGTTGGACTGGATAAACCTTACGCAGCAGCACCGGTCCGGTCCAATCCGACCCAGCTGAAATGCCAGGCTCCAGGCCCATACTTCTTCACCGGGTACCAATTTACTATTCGTCCGAAGGCGGTCTGGCGGGGCGTTCTGGTTTTGTTCGAGGCTTCGCATCAGGTCTGAAGCCTTGCCTCGCCCCTCCCGGGACTTCGCCCTCTTGGCCGCTTCTGGGGTGGCCCACCGTGCCTCGAAGGATTAAACTCAAGAACAGCCTTCTGAAGACACGGCTCACGAGAGCCGGGTGCTCAAGTCCTCAACCTTCAAGCATTACCTAAGCACCGCTACTCGTCTTCGGGACCATCTCGCTTCATCGCCTTAGCCCGACACGGACGGCAGATGCTTCGTAGGTTATCTCAGGTCACACTGAGACGTGGACTCAGAGGTACTGTGCCCGGGAGGTAGCGGCAGCATCGGTGCGCCCCATGATGGAGCTAGTCTTATTTCTTAGCAGGCCTTTTGCAAGACTTGCAAGAAGCTGCACTGATGTGACTCTTGCACGCTTAATGCCTCTTGTGCGAGCAGCTGTAAGGGGCTGCAGTTTATCCGTTGCAACAAGATGGAGTTGGTTTTAAACTGCGTGAGCTCATTGCTTCAAGCATGCAAGGACGAACAAGCAGCGTCTGCGTGGCGGAAGTGCCAGTAAGACAGCTTCACTCCGAAAACGGGTCAAGCTGCATATGATTGCTGTAGCTACAGCAATGTTGCAGCACTTGCTTGCACATGAACCTTTACTCTAGATCACGACAGCGGCCTGCCAGACTAAAATGCGCAAACGTCCACACCGCAAGTACGCGAACACCGCTTTTGTGCCGCTGATGCGCAACATGTGAAGAAACCAAGTTGCAAAGCGACGGCAGCACAGAAAGAGAGAGAGAGAGAGATAGGACGATCAGAAAGTCTTTTCATCAGCATTACCGGAAACTTTGCTAAGCGGCACAGAAGCCGTCGGATTGTAAGCGGTCCTAGCACTCCTTAAAACAAAGACACTGAAGGCTTCTCCGTCGCTGCATGGAAAGCGTATGGTCGTCGCATCAGCGCAAAGACCGCCGCCTCAACCTCCACCGGGGGCCACAGTTAGTTAAGAAACGGTGAAGCAAACTCAGCCTCCGATTTCCATCACAAAACATGATCTATCAGATTTTCCTAGATGCGTTGGCTGTGCATACGGCATGTCGCAAGTGGGCTGCACAAGCCTGCACATGCCTAGCCTGCAAGCCCTTCCGGGCGTGTGGGCAACGTAGCAAAATTTGGAAGTATGAGCAGAGAAGCTACTGTGCTCGAGTGTTCTGCGCCTGTGGATGCTGACATGACTTCGGTCTAGGGCTTGAAGAAGATTGCGCCGCTGAACCGCCCGCCCAGATCGTGCCAAACTACAACGACCGCATTGTCAGCACTCTTGAAGGCTTGAAGGTGCCCTCTGCGAATGACCGAATCCGAGTCATGGTTGGACTGTGGGTGCAGTTTCACGCGAGATGATCCTCGTAGCTGGGTCTTCGGAACCACACCACTAAGAGTTGCAAATCAAGAACCCGGGAGCTCAGCGTTTTTGAAAGAAAGACGATCCAGCGGCGGACGCACGGCCTGGGACCTGTGAGTCTAGTCAGGACAGGGCGTAGGGCCCAGGGTTTAGTTTTAGGGTATAGGGTTTAGTTTTAGGATGCTTTAGGGAATAGGGCTTAGGGTTAAGGGTTAAGGTTTACACTTGACACTGCCTGCGTCCCCACACAGTGCAGAGACACGGGCAAAGTCCAAACTTCCACAGGAGTTCCATGTCCCAGTACGGATGCTCATGCCGCATGGATGCACGGATGATGCCGAGGCAAGTTCACTGCAAGTGATGCTCTCCATCGATTACGTTTCAGCTCTAGGACCGTTCAACAGGAGCCTGAAATCGCTCGTCTTGGCGCTGTCGAAGACCTCGCCAGTGCTGTTGCCCCCAGGCACCTGGCATGATCCACAGCACAGCTGGGTCATGCAAAATCACTGCCCACCTGCTCGATGGCCCCGAGATCCTTCAGCACTTTGGCAGCTTTCTTCTTCTTCCTGCCGGATGTTGAAAGCTAGAGGTGAGACGCTTGGGCCCGGTGCACTGTGCAGCAGGGAAGTTCAAGCCGCATGACGTACCTCCGTCTGTCTATCTGCCCGACGATCTGTCTAAAAAACTCACAGGGACGTGTTGAGCCGTTTTTTGCGCTTCAAAGCAGCAACTGCACGTCCCGGCAACTGCAAGACTCGCGGCCCAGGACAAGGACAGAGCGCACCAGACCAAGATGAAGCCACTGGCCGCCAACAAGAGACCAGACTCCTGGGGCATCGGGCCCTCAACGGGACGGCGGCGCAGCAAAGTCGCTGCGAAGTCGCTGCGCTCCCTCCCAAAATGGTGAGCTACTCGGCTTGGCTGGCCATTGCCAGCAAAGACAGGGAGTGGAGGATGCGGGGCACGTGCAGACACAAACACCTAAAAGAGCAAGCAAAGAAAGAAACAAGCAAGTAAGAAAGCAAACAAACAAGCAAAAAAGAAAACACAGAGAGAATTCAGTGAGAGTGAGGGAAGATATTGGGAAGACCCAAAACTTTCTCTGGGAGCTTGCGACGCCCTCATGTTCGTTGCTCTGCTGTCCTGTCCAACGCCATCTTCAGCGGTGTCGCAAACTGATTGTCTGGGCCGCTCTCAATGTTGATGTCTGCCTGGCACTTCTGCAGGCTGCTGCTTGAGTGGCAGAGAGGAAAGAGGAGCTAGAGTACCTAGAGCAAGACATCGTTGATGTACGTGGCCTTCAGCTCGAAAAGCTTTTGGATGATCCCTGGATTGTTCCTCGGAACTGCCCCTAGGGGGGAAAAGCAAACATCCCCACGGAACACCCAGTCTACTCGGGCAGAATCCCACGGAACTGCTCTCAGCTTCTCTGGATGTTGACACTTGAAGACATTCCGACACGCTGCGCAGTCGCTGCGCCATTAGACTGCGAGCCGAGAATCTGCATAACACCCTCGTGCACGGCCGTATTTCCGCCGACTGCTGGCCTTGGTCTACAAGAGCAAAGTCAAGAGCACTCAGCACCGTTCTTCGAAATAGGGTGCTGACATGTCCAGATTGGACTTGTACTGTTTCAATACCTGCTGCTGTACGTTCACAGGAGCAAAGCAAAGCTGCTTGCGTAGCGGCGTAGACTGCAGCATAGCAGGCATAGCATATCTGCACCTCCAAAGACACGGGACGATCGCTGATCGCCTCAGCTCCCAGGGGCTTCCGATAACCTCCGGGCCTCCCCTTGGAGCCTTGGCCCCCGGCAGCCACGTGTACCGGAGCCGCTCCGCTGCGGCTCTTCATATTCAGGTCTGCGCGGGCCTGTCTTTCAAATCACCAGAAGCGGCCGGGCTGCCGGTCGAAGGAACGGTAGCTACAGCCTCCAACAGCACTCGAATGCTGTCAACCTGGCCACATCCACAAGCGTTATGCAGCGCCGTGTAGCCACCTGGGTCAAGAAGCTGCGCATGGCTACCACGAACCGAGCTAGAACGGCAGCAGCCGCAGGCAGTAATCAGTAATTTATGAAGCGGAGGAGTCAGAGCTGCACTAAGTCACGCAGCCGGTCGAGGATAGCAGGTACTTGCACAAGATGGCTTACAATGCTTACAACGTGACCGCTCACTCGGTTGCCGACTTCTGTTCCTTGGCTGCAGGCGGAACGACCTCACCCTGCTTCATGGTCAGGTCTCTGCGTTGCTGCAAAGCTTCGCTAGTTGTATGTCGGCGCCCTGCTCCAGGAGAAGCTTCACAGCCTGTGCACTACAGACGCAAAGCCCATCATCCGACCACCGTATGTCCCATGTTAGTCTGTTAGTCAAGTCTGGTCAGGTCATGCGTGTGTTTGAGCTGCTTCGGCTGCTAGTGCACCGTTTGACTTCTTGCGAGGCCTCCTGCGCACTAGGAGCTCCAGCTGCAAGGTAGAGAGCATGGAAACCAGATGTATCCTGCAAGCTGCGGCGCGTGGCTTCAACGATCACGCATTGCCGGAGAAAGACGTCACGCCATCAAGCCTCCAAACGAACACCACATCTTAAATTCGGTCCTGGTAATTCACCTCTGCCTTCGCATCTAGTAGCCGCCGCGCCGCCTTTGGGAAGTGCAGCCAGTTACATCACCCACCACTCAGAGCAACTCGCCGATCGGAAGAGCAACTGCCTATTCCGACCACAGAGGAAGTCTTCAAAAGCTCATGCCTCAGCATGACCCGCTTCCGCAGCAGCCAGCAAAGGTGTCCGCTGCAATGAAACCATTGAAAAGGTCTCGTCCTGCTTGTGCTCTCTTTGCAGGCTGAAAGGTGCACATGTCCCAGAACTACCCCGGGCGAGTGCATGTAGTGTAACAAGCCTGAGCGGCAGATCTCTGCGTACTGCACCAGGCATACAACTACATGCAAGCGTATACTTGGGCTGATCAGCATGAACACCACGTTCACGATGCTGCCGTAACAGGATGTTTGGCTCTGTCTTCTGTCTGCCCAATGTCTGCTGTCTCAGTGTCTCAACACTATAAAACACCAAAAGCAGCTGCAGCAAAAAATGCAGCGACCTACCAGTAAAGTCCTCACGACCCAAGTCTTCAGCAAAACAGAACGACCTAAAGCCCCTTCAACTCTGTCATCGAACTCATGCAGCATTACGCAGCGTCCCAGCGTCCTCGTTCAGCACACCGCGTGGGAGCCGGTCGCCCTGCGTCTCGCACAAACATCTGAATGCCAAACTTCTTCAGTCTGGACTCACCTTGTTTCCGTGTTGTGTTGTTGCCGTGATTTTTGCGGCAGGCGCCTTGAGGATGGTGTTGATGGTGCTAGGATTGGCCTTGGCCAGCCTGGCGATTGCCTCGACATCATTGGCCTCGGCAGCCTGACCAGCTGCAGCGATGTCTGAGGGCATGCGCTCACAGAACAGAGGAGTCAGCCTTGTGGAGAGAGATCGCGTCTAAGATGGCCCCACCATCCATCAATAAGAAGCGCTTGTTGACGAGGCCAAGGACCTCTTCTGGCATGTCATCTGGAGGTACCATGCCCAAAACTGACCACCCATACAGACACGATCTCCAGCAATCTGCACGCAAGCACGACTGATGTCTCATCGTGGTCGCAAACTGCATTATGCAAAGGTCGCCAAGCAGCCGTGAGAAGGTAAACATCTCTGAATCTCGTCCTGAGAGCACATTGACGTCCGTGCATACACATATTCTGGAAAGCGGATGTGTGTTTGGGGTTTCTCGTTCATTGTAGTACTGACACTGTGCAGAAAACCAATGTAGTCTGACACTGACACTGCTTTTGCAACTGGAGCGACCCTAGTGAGGAAGGCAGGCTGGTTATTATTTTGGCTTGATGGTTGGAAGCTTTGCGAGAATCGCAGCAGCAAGACGAGTCATTTCCTATCATGAACTCTGGACTGGACTGATATGGGATGACAGGAGACACCGAGTACTGAACTGCAAGTGACGTTGCGGACCCCACCGACCGATGCCAAACCAGCGTCTGATAACGCTCCCCAAAGCTCCAAACTCTGAATTGCGACGCCGACCGTGAAGGAGCACCAACAAAACTAATGAAAACCCAGACCAAAGAAGACCTGTCGAGTCTTCTGCGGCGGCCGGCGCACACCATTCTTCTGGCGAGCTGCTCCAACTGCTGGCAAAAGATGGCTTCAAAGTCTGCCATGTTGGCAAACCTTAGATGCAGAACGACGTGCGGCCCGAAAATCTTTAAGCTCTTGCAAGTAGCAGATTGTACTGCTGGACTGCTGCGGAAGGCACACGCCATTCAGCAAGAGAACGGGGTCTGCCGTATCAACCTCCAAGCCGAACAAACAGGCTTCTACATAAGGCTTGAACTTCTGCAGGCCAGGCCTTGTAGTCAAAACGAAACTCACAGAATTGCCAAAGGCAATCCCCCAGGCTGGGGCGCTGCACCTCTGCGGCCCGAAACTCTCTCCACAGTGCGACGACAAGAGCCGAAGCAAATCAAGACACGGAGAGAACTTCGATCTCGTCCGTGCAGGCCAGAATACAGCTCGGAGGAACCGCGATCTTCCTGAGCATGGCTCATGGCACGGGTTTGTGGCCACAGCTGGGGTGAAGCTGGTGCATCTTACACTGTTGACGTTCGGCCTGCCTGTGAGCGAAATTCCAATATGCTTTTCCTGTAGCTGCAAAGACAAAAGGCTGCCATGCAGTCGGGCTGCAAGAGCTTTTTGAAGCTTTGCGAGAGCGCCTGGCATCTTGCTGCGCATTCGAATGCAACTTCGTCGTGAGCACTAGCATCTAGGTATAGGCGCAGATCGTGCCTCAGCAACGCTCCATTTCATGTACTCTCCTTTCGCCACATCTTCGATCGCTATGTCACCACCACGCATGCGGAGCCTTGCACGCACGTTGCTCCAGCACGTCTATCTGCAAACAAGCCTGCAAACAAGCCTTTGCAGGCAGCCATTTCGACGCACAAGCTTTCTTAGCCGGCTGCTTTACTCGCACGATGCCGAAAGGGAAGTGCCGAACCGACATCTCCTGTTGCAATGCAGGCATTCGTCCAAAGAGAGAAAGCGCAGCGCGGCTCCTCTGCTGTACCTTTTCGCACGCGGCATGGCGGCTTCAGCTGCACAGGATCCTGACACTGTTGAGCTCGTCATGCACTTAGCGAACACTCCGTCGAGTCACGATCGAAGAAAAATTTTGCCTTGTGCGCGAACTCCCCGCTCAGCTCTCGAAAAAGGTCCGCATAATCCTGCCATGCTAGCTCAGTGGCAGTCCGGCCTGTCGCTGCGAACATCTAACAGCCCACCTTCGAGACGTAGCCAAGCCCATCTCCCTTCGGCATGGCCAGATGCCAAAGACAAAATGGGCCCTATCAAAGGGAAAGATGAAGCTTCAGCTTCGAGACTGTGTGGAAGCATCGTTGAGTCTCAGGTCTCAGGTGCCTACACTACAGTAACGTGGCTACGAGATGCCAGGACTGCTGAGACGGCGGGTAATGTGCGAGGCTAGCCGAGCAAAACGTACGAAGCTCCAGCGACCGCACAAGCCTCATGAGTAGAAGTCTCCATCTTTTCCCTTCATCCACCAGGCGCCGTAACTAAATCTTGGCTCTTGCCGTTCGTACTGCCTGGGCTACGACACGGAGGCAGAGGGCAGCCTGGCAGCTCGGAGGTGGGTCGAGTTGAGGCTTTTTTTGTATGAAGGCTTTCTTCTATGTGTTTTCACTGCTGCAGACACACTGCATCCGCCACTGTGAACTCGCGTGAAACTGGCTTTTTCAATCCTCACTCCCCATCCGGCTCTTCTTGCACACGCAAAACACTGAGCTTCTCCTTTCAGTGACGTGTCTGTGCAGCTCTTGCCTTGAGCTCCTCCCTTCCCGTCCTGAAACTCCTCCCAGTCGTAGTCGATCTCCTGGACTTTGCACTGGTAGTGCTCCATGACCTGCGGCGCGGCGTCTAACAAGAAGGGGCTCTTTGCAGTCGCAGGCTCCGGGCTCGGGGCTCCGCCTCCTGCACGTGCTTGATCTCATCCGTCGTGACGAGGCTCACCGCGACGCCTTTCAGGCCGAACCTTAAGCAGGCACAAGGCTGCACAAGGCTGCGCAGAGATGTGCAATGGCGGCAGCCGCGGCGGGTTTAGGTCGAAGGCCGGCCAGTCCTTCCAATTCGATGCAGGTACGTATCCTGAGCCCGACACATCCAAGCTTCGCCAAACCCGAAGCCAAGTCTCGCTGCCGAGCGACCATGGCGACAGTCCAGTTTCGCGTGAGCGGCATCTCGTAGTTCACCACCAGGGTGACCTGTCACATGTGGCTCTCGTATGAATTATTAGAAGTCCGATTCGAAGGACAGTTTGCCGCAACAACACCTCACCTGAGGCACATCGATCCCGCGGCAAAGGACGTCCGTCGCGACCAGAACCTACGATGCAGCCGTCGAGACTGAGCAAGCTTACGCACTAGAAGGTATTACTAGCATCGGGTTTAGCTCAAATCAACCGGTCAGAACAGCCATCACCCGAGTGTGGATGCTGTCTCAGGGGTTTACACATCAACGGCGAGAATACACATCAGTACATGCTAAACCCTGGAGTGGATTCTGTTTGTAGTCTCCAAGTCGCACAAGCTCAAATTGCTCAAATTTTGGGATCCGCTTGAGACACACATCACTGGCAGCACAACATATCAAGACCAGCCATTCCCCATGCAGACGCTGGATTTGACATGGAGAGGTGACTGCTTGAAGCGATTCCCAAGTGTGGACGCTCACTGATGAGTGTTTCAACCAAGCGATGCGAGATAAAGCGAGCACTAGCAGGTCGCCATCGCAGCAACGGCCTCATGAGTTAGGGAAAGAATGTGGCATCCGTTTGAACCATTTCAGAAAATGGACCTGGGTCACGCCGCTACGGAACTCGCCCATCACCCGATCACGCCTTGTCAAATCAGGCTGCAGTCGCAGGTAGCCAGCCATGCTACTGGCTGCTACTGGTGCTGCAATCACATCTGTGATATGTTGAACGACTGCAAGGGCCCAAACTCTTCGACTGTCAGGCCATCTTCTTGGCCGCTTGACTTCCTGGCGAAACACAAGGAGCAGAAACTCTGACATCAGTTGCAGAGCCATTGGTGTTTGTCTCAAAGCACAGGCCGGACACGCGAGCCGCAAATCAGCGACACAACTCGGCCCTCCTGCTTCAGCTGCTCCGCTATCTGGAAGGCCTCCCCATCCCCGGGCGTTCAAGAGGCCAATGATCTGGCTGTTACTCTTTTTATTCGAACGCCACCCTTGGCACACCTCTGCCATGCACGATGCGGCCAGAACCTTCTTATGGTGGCAGAACCGTCTAACTGCCACCTGTTTTCACAGTCAGGCTTCAACCCACATTGCTATCGTTAGTGCGCATGGATGAACTAGAATGGCCGCTCGAGGAACGAGTCCGAATGGCAACTTGTTCACACTGCTTCAAAGCTAAGGTAGCACCCAGGTGTGGGAGATCTAGTGCTGCTTTGCAGCGAAGAGCTATGAGTCTGGCTTCGTGGAAAAATCACAGGAGGCAGCCATTCCGGGTGGCGCAGTGCTCCAAATGATAGCGACCATGATGATGAAGCCGGTCTTACAAGCAATGGACGCAACAGCCTACCTCTTGCAATACGAAGCCATTGATCTACACCTACTAGTGTCCTACTGCTGGCATGCCCATCAGGGTTTCATCGCCTGGGCTGATATCTCATGCTGAACGCTTGACTCGTTGAAAGCACAATCGCAATCGATCCGCACTTTGTTCAGTCCTTTCTGCCACGGAGCTCTCCCAACAAGTGAAACTTCAGCCGTGCCACCCTCGCCGGGTTCTCTGCTTGCCAGGCCAACCTTAGCCGGCACGGGGCTGATGCGGAGCCACCCCGACCCATGCCCTTTCAGGCCTCTCACGCGAGGAGCATTCGTGCTGCTAAGCAACGGAAATCATAGCGATGGGTGGACGTACCAAGCGGCGATCCCCGCGTGACCCCCTGAGCAGTATGTGCTTAGGATGACTGCTCCGCTTAACATAGGGTAACAAGGCAAACAAGTCTTCCTGGCAGACAGACTTGCATGAATTCCAGAGTGATGTGCTGAGCGAGCGAGCGGCCAAATTGTCGTGAAGCGTAAACAAATGAGACGAAAATCTCTGGTCCTTGGAATCGAGGATAGCCAACCTACCCTACTCCTCTCCACGCAGGTTGAGTGGTCACCATGCATGTCGGCATGACATTGTGTGATCATGTTAACTTGCTTTGTAAGGACAAGCTGCATGCGAGCGGAAAGCATCTCTGCTCGAAGTAGTTTCCCTGAAGGATTGTCCTGGGCAGAAGAGTTCTTAAGAAGCTTAAACCCACATAAACAATCATAATGTGGTCAAAACAAAGTGAAGCAAAGAGAGCTCCGGTGGAACACAGGCAAGTCTTCTACCTTGGTTCTTCGCCTTTTGGAGTAGATGGCTCCGATTCCGGTGCAAAATGCTTGAACAGCAACAAAAGCTGCAGTTTGCAATGTGGTGCAATACCTGACAGGTTCCCTTTGACGGCGTCATGAGTCATGCATGCAAGCCACCCAGACTGTGGCAAAGGCTGTCGTTCTCGCGGGGATCCGCCTGCAGCCACTGCAATCGATAGGTGGAAGCTCTGAGATCCCCTGTCCGACTTCTACTGCAGGGCCTTGCCACGCCAAAGGCCCGAGTTTTCATCCTCCCCAAAGGAGCCTCTTGAAGATCTGTGAAAATCTCCGACCACATAGCTGCACGATTGCCAGAGGCATGTTCAGAATGCTGACATGGCACGGTAGGATTCTCGGGATTCTGAGCTTATGGCTCCAGGTGCCTGCAGCAAGCATATGCAGAGAAGCACCCTCCCCTGGTTGCTGTCGTTCAGCATGCTACCGAGAACCCTTCCAAAAGTTGTAACGATGTCCCGACACATAGGGAAACACTGCTTGGAATTGCTTGCAGACAGGCAGCGCTGGAAAGCCGCTGCTGTCCCAGCCTCACCCGCGACCGTCTTTTCATTATCTTTTCCGGAGCTGCAAAGAGCAAAGAGCAATCGATGATCAGTGCTCGCTCACACCCCAAGGAAAAGATGCAAAAGCGGTCAAGACAGCAAAGAAGGAAAGATAGATTTTTTGGCAAAGGGCTAGACAAAGCAGAATGAAGAATGAGCGCAGAATGAAAAGGCAGCTCTCTTAGTTCCAAAAGCTTCAGCAGGGCCAATGCGCAAGGCGACTGAACTTCCCTGTCCGGGCTAAGGGCTAAGTATAAGTAGGACGATCCTGAAAGTGCTTCTGGCTGTACAGAACCGAGCACCCTCGGTTCTGTACTGACGCAGCGATACCAAACTGGGATACATGACATGGCGGCATTTGCCGCCTGTGAGCCTGTGTGACGTTTTCTTCTTCTGGAGCAGCCGATGCTGCTTTACACTTGCAATTCAACACATCCACCTCTCCTAAACCTTACAAAGCCACTCAAATGCAGGCTGAGTACATCCGAGTAGGATCTTCACTGGATCTACACCCCATGAGAATGCGAGTGCACATCTTTGTCTAGCCTTCTGGGCAGAAGCAATTAAAGACTCTTCGCAAAGCTTGCCTAGGCGGAAGTGACTCAGACCGCGACCCCTTCTCCTTGTTCGTAACCTTGGGCAACTGGCGAACAATGTCGTTTTGGGTGGAATACATGAACATCACATGGAAGCAAGAACAACGGCTTCAGACCCTGTGTATCGCTCCTGGTATGCGACCTATTGAAGTCTCATAACGCAAAGCGCTTCCGAAACAGCATCAAGAAGGAAACAGACCTGTGAAGCAAAGCTATGACCTTCGAAACGCTCAGCATGAAAGGCTTCTTAATATTCTGAGGCAGATCACAGCGGCCAGTTTGTTTGCAGAGAAGTCGGTGGAATCGAACTTGCGAAACCTCGAAACGAGTCTCACTTGGGAGAAGATGGTCAACGACCGCTCCCCTGCATAGCAGGCCTAGAATCCAGCTGTTACTGCACGAGCTACACTCGATTTTCTCCAGCCACAGTGATACAGCATATGTCGTCAAAGCCGAGAAACGACAGCCCGTACTGCGAGCGGATCGAAAGCTGCAGCAAGTCTTCCGCCATGGCAACACAGGAACGGGTATTGGCGGGTGGTGCCAAGTAGAAAAGTCTGCACGGTTCAACACGTGTGGAAAGGTCAGGCTGTGTTCAAGTGTTTCTAGACCTCAATCGTCTCCAGGTTCCCTTGAGCGTGAAATCTGCAACGACCACACAGCCCGCATCTTGAGAAGATCCTTCGCGCTGTCGTCACTGCATAGTTGCACTCTCTAGGCAGTGCCGGACAGAAGTTTGTGGGCTGGAGTTTGGCACACTGCAGGCACATGAAAAGTGCACAAGCCTTGCTTCTCGAGTTGAAGAAGACGATACTCTGGCCCATGCTGAGAGCACCATAGATCTGTCACAGGGGATAGCAGGAAGGTTGGCAGCGGCCCTCGGAATCATGTCAGGTCGGCATTCATCAGCTGCTGAAACTTGTCGCTCTCATCATCGCAAACCTTGTATGTTTGCCTCAGAAAGAAGTCAGGTGGTGACCCCCGAGTGCACATGGCATGGGAGTGGTAAGTACTGAGGTGACAGCTGGATGGTGGCCACGGTCAGCGCCTCTTTCGAGACCTCTGCCAGGGCCGCGAGACTGGCTCTATCCCTGCCAAGCATTTCCTAAACAGCCTGGGCCTAGGCCTACACAGAGTCTTGCACGCCTTGATGACCGTCTTGCTCGCAAGCAGATTCCGTGCAAAGATTTGCACATAATCGGGGTATGTGGCACTGAAGAAGAGAATCTGCCCAGGACAGAGTGACCAAGTGTACCCAAAATGCGAAACTGTTCACCGTGCTCTTTGGGCCTGGATATCTTGTGGCAGATGCTTCCTGACGTCCATGACGTGGGTGCCCATGAAATTTTCCTGCACACGCATCAAGCCCCGACCACACCACAGCTGAACTTCGCAACCTCGATTGAAACAGTGAGGTCCTGATCAAGCATCACATCGGCCTCATCAAGTACCAGAACCTTGAGCTCCTTCACGTAGACGAATCTCTTCTTGCACATGTCCTGAAAAAGACCATCCGGTCTTGCTGCATTGCACATTCTGCTACCCTTTGGTGGGAGCACACAACAGGTTTCTGAACCCGTCCATCATCTTCCCAGGGGTGCCAATCAAGATGTGGCAGTCAATCGTAGAGCCGGTCGGAACACGCTCCTCGCCAAACTGGCATTAGCAGTGCCAGCAGGCTCCCTTACTCTCCTGTCTCTTTCCATCAAACGAACCACACAAAGCGACCAAATGCTGCGCTCCATGCCCGGACACACCAGATGAGTCTTCGGTTTCATTCCATACCTGTCATTGGGTGCAAAACTTAAGAGGGATTTCGCTCCGTAGCCTCAGTTGCAAGATTGCAAGACTCAATGCTTGAACCAAGCAACCCAATGAGGTTTATGAAGTCGTGGTTTTGACGTGCCAGCTCTCTGGTTGGACCTTGGCAATGCCGCACATCCGAGGCAGTGGTACTGAGCCATGCTGAGTAGCCGGCATAAAACCATCGCCTGTGGCTGCAAGACCTTTGCTATGCGCTATATAGTTACAAACGCAAATCACGCCAGCTTCGACCCCTAACAGTGAAAGAGCCGCCTGCAGCCCTTGCAAACCCAAGCACGGCATCGTGGCGGGAGCAGAATTTCCACCCATACCCATAAAAAAGCAAAGAAAATACAGAGGGCACTGTGGCGGGAGTATGATTTCTCAAATTGTGGCCCTGGACTTCAGCGGGCTTAAGCAGCGACTTCGAGGGAGTCTGGGACCGCCAAACACACCTGCCCGGCACTTTACTCTGAACGTGAGAACCCCATATTGCCACACTGCTTGGGGAAGGAAAACGCATGCAACATGACCGCTTGAGACACAAAACATGTTCCAATCAAGTCTCATGCACCAAGCGAGTAGCTCCAGAGTTGCATTGTCAATTGCCATGAATGCCTGCCTGCTGAGCGTGCGGCACTGATGTCAAGCGCTTGCAGCACAGCGATGCTGAAGCATGCAGTCTTGCCAGATCCATTCTGCGCCTGTCTGCTTGCAAATCATCTCGAAGAGGGCGTAAACGCTTACAAAGCTACAAAGCGAGACCTTTCGTTGCACCGCACCTGCGCCTGGAGGCTTTTACCTCCCTGACCTGGTTCGCCGAGAATTCGTGGCAGCGTGTGCGCCTGCCACGAAGTGCATTCATATAACAGCATGCACGAATGCTGCATGCCTGGATGACCGAAGGCTTCACGTAGCCAAGGAAGTTGATGCCCTCGAAACATGGAAACAACACAAAGAATGCTGGTGCTGCCAGTGCTACTACCGCTGGTACCGCTGCTTCTGCTGCTGCTGTGGGTGTTTTCTTTGAACATACAATCGCAACATGATTGTGATCTTTTCAGTACATGTAGCAGCCAGGAAGATCCTGCAAAACAAAAAAGCCTTGTGTACTACATTCGTCAATGGAGGAGACCGTGTGCAAAAGACAATTTACGCTGTGCCCGCGGCTTCCATGACCTCCTTGCACACGCCGAGGCTTTCAAAACTGGGCAAGGGCCACTGACACTCTGGGCTCCTTCTGAGCTCAGAACAGGGTCTCGCACAGTTCTGAGTTCCGCACTCTTCCTGCGCCAGAAGCATCTCTGTCCGGGGAAATTCGACTTCCTGGAGCAAAAGGAAGCAAGCCAAAGTGTGCATGCATGTATGCATGCATGTACGTAGGTAAGTAGGCAGGTAGGTAAGTAGGTAAGTAGGTATGTACATGTACATGATTATGTATATGCATTTGGTGATGTATATCGAAGTGTATGTATGTAGATCTATACATTCGTACATATATGTATATACACACACGCACTGACGTCTTGGCTTCCTCATGAGTAACTTCCTCAAATGCTTGTTATTCATTTATTGGGCTCATTGAATCTTGTGTGTATCTCTCGGCTTTCTCATCTGCTCATACAGATGTCCATTTACTGATTGTGCCGTTTTATTGCATTCATTTACACGCACATTTGCTTATGCATTTGTGTGTTTATTTGCGCGTTCAATTACAAAATGCAGATAGTCTTCTTCATCCAGCTGTCTGCATTCGCATGTACCGCTATGACTGTGCTTGGACATTAGTGCGCATGCATGCATGCATACAATGCATAGATTTCAACCCCCAGACCCTCCGCGCCTCATCCTGGACTTCAACGGTGGCATTGTCCTGCGAAGGGAGGACCATGCGAAAAAGGCATCAAACCTCCAACATCCTCGAATTCACGATTTCCAACCAAAGATACTGCCAAATTCAATCTGGGCCATGGCAGCTCTTCCATGACCAGCCTCGCCCACTAGGCCACCATAACCACCTCAACATCAACATCAGGTTATATCACATGAGCTGTCTACAACAGTTGAGAATGTCGCTGAAGCATAGCGCTAAGCTGTCTACAACAGTTGAACATGTGAAACTACAGCCACACCTTGAAAACGCTTGAGGGTCTGCTACTCAATCTCACAAAGGGTATGTGCGTGCCAATTTGGTTACAGATCAATGAAGAGGAGCTATCGCACTTGCACTCTAGACTTGCATCCTGGCCTGAATACCAAGACGACGAGGTATCCGTATCCTGCAACAGAACAAGGGCATAATTCGCCACATCCAGATCATCACAGGGCCTGCTAGTCGATTGCGGACGAGACAACCAAAGCGAGCGAGCTACCCGTCGCAACACAACATCGCAACCAAGCCAACTATGCTGTCCAATAAGTCAATGAGTGCGACGACGCTTGCACACGATTCAAGTCTACATCCCATCTCGCATCCAGAGCTGACACTACGAGCACACCGTCCTTTGACCAGTTGGAATTCCCCCACTTGGCACGTCCGCCTCCTTCAACATGCGAGACATGAAAGAGGTGGTTTCACAGGCATGCACAGAAAGACTGTGTCCCCGCCTCCGCCACTCCACTTGTCGTTTTTCCACTTGTCTGAACCATGACCGTTCTGGCTTTCCCAACTTCGGTTGTTGCCACGGTCGTTGTCATCCCAGCCGCCATGTGCCGAAGACTTAGCCAGGCAGGAAGGCAATCAAATGAGGTAAAAGTGGTTCCAACAGCATGAGTCTTTCTGATGACAGTCACGAAGTCAGCTAAGATTGCTTGGTCACTCGGCCATGTGATTGCATCCGTGACGGTCATGGGGCGCAGGCTGTGGGCTTGTAGCTTGACCAAGCTGCATCGGTCCTTGGAGTTGCAACTCTGCCGACAAGGTGCTTCGCTCTGTCTCCTCCGAGGTGAAAGCTTTTCGAAGCCGGGTGGTTGAGGCATCGCCTCACGGCCTTGTCAGCAGAGCGATACTTGTCTCGCAGTGCTTCGCCTCACACGATTCACGCCAAGAGGCCTAGGTTCACATCTGCCATGGCACTGGTAAACGCACACTGCTGAAGCAAGAGGTTTGCTTGAGGGTGGTTTACGAAATGGGTCTGAACTTTACGAGTGCAGGTCAGGGCAGCTGCCATTGCAAGAGTGTGGAAGCTCGGGTCTGTGCTGCTGTGTGACTCTTGGCTGTACTGCAGAGCATCCGCCGGGGCGTGTTAAGCCAAAGCCGGGCGAGCAGTCCAGATCGAGCGGCAGTTCTATGTGAGACTCTGCTGCTGTAGTACATGCCTCGATGTCGCGACATTTGCGCATACCCCACTGCAGAACAGTTTGGGCGGTTGAGGCGCCAGAGCCCGTCGCATCAAACCGCTGGTCCGAGAGCAGTCATCGGTAAGCGCTGTTGGCTCGTGGTTCGGCTGTGCTTGAGGGTTTAGAGCTTCGAGGATCCACTGTCTTATCTAGTTGAGGCCTGTCCACCTGAAGGCAAGCAATCAAAACACTTCCACTCTGTACGTATGCAGTATGCAGATTCATGGAGCCACTGCCTTAGTGCCTTAGTGCTTGTGTAAGCCTGCCATCACGCCAGATCCATGGGACAAGGTTCGGCGCGTGTCGGCCACTAGCATCTTGAATCCCGAATGCCTCTGCGAGAAACAAAGACCCAGGACCCAACAAGGAATCGCTGATGCGCTCCCAGGGGTTTTGGATTTGGCTTACACTTACACGACGATAGATTTCCTCGTTCCTTTCCACACCTCACAGCCCAGCTTGGATTTTTTGCGACAACCGCACAATCACGAGTCCGCGAAGTCATCCGCGAAGCGACATCTCAGAGTCGAACTCTTGTCCAGACCGCGATCGTGCAGACTGTGACGCAATTCATCTGGGAAGTGGCCCGGACGAGCATCTGTAATCTCACGCCAGCATGGAAGGCGTCTTTGTGGCTCGCGGCACACTTTACACAATTGAGGCCAACGCTTTCGCAAAACATCTAGGTGGTCCCCCATCATCTTGCAGTGTGGCTGCCGCCGAAGCAAGTCCACAACAATGAGTTCTTCAACTCCGAAACGACACCAAATGCCCTGGCCATATCGCATCAGCGGTATCGGCTCGCCGCCGATGTATTCCCCTGCAAGTGTTGTCTGAGACCCTACACGTCCCGGACTGTCGAGGCGATTGACGGAGACCAGGTGGAAGCGATTCTCGGTTGCACGCTCCGTGGCTGCCATCTCAGCGGCCTCGACTCTGTCCCAGTCGGCCGGGTGCAACACCACCTCCGCGGCTTGAAGCGCGATGCACCGCGAAAGCTCAGGGTTCCAGACTTCGTCCGCGATCAGCAACGCCACCCGTCCCAAGCCTGGCAGAGACTCCACGACGATGCAGTCACCCTGGCAGGCCCAAGAACTCTCGACACGATTCAAGTGAGTCTTGCGATACTTGAGCAGCACTGAACCGTCCGCTCCGACCAAGTAGGCCGTGTGGAAGCGACTGCCTGCTTCCTCTTCCACGAGACTGCAGCAGAGGTTGAAGTTGCTGTCTTTGCACCAGCCTTGGAGTTTCTTCAGGACCTGATGGGAGTAAACTGCAGCTTCCGCAGGATCCTTCTGGACCTCCTCACGGCGGAAGCACCAAAGAGCGGGCAGAACGCCCAGAACCGCCCCTCGACGCGCGGCATAGGAGATCTGCCGCTGGGTCATCCACTCGGTGCACTGGCGAGTGTGCGTCGCACTGAGCTGCATCATCGCCACCTTCAGGCAGGCCGGACCCTCGAAGGGCAAATCTGACGCTTCAGGCGCAGGGCCATACATCACCGCAGCTGGCACCGAGTCCAAGGGCTGACACATGAGCTCATAGAGCTCGGGGCGGCGGCATGCCCATAAGTCCTGTACCCAGCTCGTCTCTTTGAGCTCGGATTGCCAAGGCAACACCTCCGCAACCACCATGTCGTCATGCTCCTCCGAAGCCACAACTCTCACTCCTGAGGGATCACAGACTTCGGAGCCTCCCGTCCAGGGCCAGAGCAGGCCAGTCGTGTTCGGGTTGCCAACGGTATTGGAGGCCACGTGCCAAACTGCGTTTTCCATAGCACGCAAGGGGATGTGCAGCCGCATTTCATCAGGGCCCCGGCTGTTCAGGGAGTTCAACAAAACCTGAGCACCCTTGAGACAAAGCACCCTCGCGGCTTCCGGGACGATTCCATCAGCGCAACAAAGGACACCGAGGCGCCCAAGCTCGGTGTCGAAAACTTGGTAGGGCTCGCTGCCCGGTTCGAACAGGGTGTACTCGTAGTCCCAGAGGACGTGCTTCTTTACGCAGCCAACGATCTTCCCGGTTGGAGCAATGAGCAAGATGCCAATGTGAACGGTGGGCTTCTGCCGTCCACGCAGATCTACACCCAAAGAAGCCCAAATGCCGATATCACGGCAAGCCCTGCGAATGCCGCGGACGAAACTCCCATCCAACGTCTCAGAAAGCTCCCAACAGAGATCCCGGCTGGGCTTGCCATCTTTGAAGTACGTCCTATCACGATTCGAGTTCTCAGGCATGACAACCAGACGTGCGCCTGCAGCCTTGGCCCTCTCCATCCACAGAATGCATGTCTTCAGGTTAAATTCGACATCCGTTCCCGAAAAGAACTGACACGCAGCGGCTTTCCAAGTCGTCAGAAATGGTGAACGCTCAAAGAAACGGGAGGTCTGCTTTCTCACCTCCCCAGCGGGCATCTGGCAGAGAAGATAGTCCATTCGTAGTTCGTTTGCAGTAACGAAACTGCTGCGAACTCTCAGCAGCAGACCTTCACCCTGGACTGATGTCATCTGCTCTGTGCAGAAGCCTTCGGAGGTCCAAAAATGACGCCACTCAGCGTCGTCTGCAGCTGTGCCTCCGATGCAAGGTACCTGCAGCGGCCTTTTCTGAAACTCGCCGTTCAGTACCATCATGTACTCGACCTGCAATCCGTCCCTCCAGCTGTGCTGTTGAACCAACCGCAAGTGATCCTTGCTGGCTGAAGTGAAGATAAGGATCTGCTGCTCTAGGGCTTCCCTCGTGGCGCATTCGTCCGCGACACCCAAGCTACGCAGGAAATCTCTGAAATCATCAGTGCACGAACTTGAACGAGCCCATCGACCCAAGAGGAGGCCAGGATCTGCAAAGCTCTCTGCCTGCCCTGCTTGTGCCATGGCCTATATATCTTCAATCTCAAAACCGTGTCTCATGACTGCACAAGAAGCCTGCTAGTGGTTCTGGCTGTAGTGATGTGATGTGTCGGGGGTTGAACCGTGTGCAGACCTGGTCGAAGTGTTCTGCGAAGGATTCATCGGAGTAGAGCTTCAGACGTGCAGGTGAAAGGGCGACGACCAAGGGCTTTCGCGAAAAGCTGCATCCGCGCACAAGTCACTCCCATTCCCATTGCATGCGCGCGCACATATCGAGGACAGGCTCCGGAACTGATGCATGAATAGCGGCACTTCTTTTGCTTCCAAAGCTGCACTCAAAGAAGCTACTTGGAGAGGAGATATCTGTAAAGATGCACGAGGTCGCAACGGCTTTCCTGCCTCGTTCAAAGCTCCGATGTACCAGCAGGTGTTCAAACCGTCACACTACATGGCGAGCTGCGTTGGGTCCCAGTAAAGAGTCCTGCTCGTCATCCAGATGGCGGGTGTGGCAGTTCGTCTGCGTCACGCCTTTAATCGGCGTGTTGAAAGGGACCTTGAAAGTTGGAGGCGGCGATATCAAGCACTGCAGCAGAAGTGCAGCAGCAATGGCATCGGTGGCTGTGCCCGGCTACACAGCCTTGCCGTCGTCAGCATCTTCAGGCCTGAGTCTTCATGTCTCTGGAAGGCTCTATGTGGACTCAGAACACATAGAAACTCGTAGCCCGTGAGCCCTTGTTGGTCTAAGGCACATCATGTCGCAAGCGAAGGCCTGGCAGCTGGTGCAGACTGCCCGAACAAGTCCTATGCCTGCGGCCTGCGGAGTGAGCTCCACATCCAACAAGGCCGACAGTATGGCCAAACAACCACCAACCAAACAGCAGGGCACGCATGTCCTCGGAAGAAATCGACAGGCGAAGGCAGGAACTTTGCGTGTTGCAACGCAGCGATGTGGATCATGAGAGCTCCGAAAAAATTGTCGTTGTGAAGATACGGGCACGAAGACCACACACATAAAAATGTAGTGACAATGTAGTGTTTTGCCTACATAATAAGAATAGGTTTGGTCATGTCTCAAATCACAGAGTAAGCCGAACCTGACCATTTATTACCCAATCTGAAGAAACGAACTACTTAACTAGAACTTGTGAGCACTTCTAGTCTAAGAGCAGGACCCACACAACGCCAGGCACAACTGCCAGCGCTCAGCTTCGCCTTCCACTCCCAACCTCAGCAGGCGCTTTGCCGATGCAACTACATCCCTCCAGCCCGTGACGATGGCGCGACGAGCAATTAAGCCCGGGTCGCGATCCAGATTGCCTTGGGAGTAAAACTGTTTTCATGTTCAAGGACCACCCACATACCCACATGTGTTGGAATGAAAATGCAGAACAGCGCTGCAATGACACGCAGTCTTTCGCTTACGAACATCCGTTCTGACAGACATGCAGCATGCCGACACATCCGAGTTGCGCTGCCAATACCTGTTGCCACAATGAGCAGGGCGACACCCACGATACAAGACCAAGGCCGCATCGCACATCGCAGTCGTGGGAGGTCTAACCACTACGACTCAGGCAACCTCACACTCATCGCATTTGCAATACATCGCTTTACTGCTAAACCAGCACAAACGTTCTAGAGTTCATCATGATGTTGCACTGTGTTGCACCAACAAGCATGCACATGTTTGCTTGTAAACAGCAAGCGCTTGTGATGTAGCAATCGCATCGCGATGTTCCCGCAATTTTTGTTGGTGAGTCGGCCTTGAGGGTAGCTTCCAATCCTGTACATCTTGGCGCTCCGACCCTGAGCGGAGATGTAAACTTGTCAGTTCCAGGTTCGGCCGTGGCTGAAAGTCATTGTCCTGCTCGTTGTTTGTTTGTTGC